CTTTCTCTTTCTGAAATTACTACTTTTCAAATATTGGGCCTTTTGGACTACTCTATAATTTTATTTTTTTTCTTTTCCTATTTTTCACCTCTTTGTGGAAATGCCATCACACTTTTATCTCCAAATCTTGCTCACAGGTTATTTCTGCAATCATAATTTCCAAGAGGTCTTTGTGTGCTTTGAATATTATTTTTTTTAAATAGCATCCTGTCCTTAATTCATAAATGCAATATTTTTCTCTGCTTTTCTGAGGGCATGGGGTATTTTTGGAAGCTTTCTTCTGCTCTCTGGATTATATCTGTTTCTTCTAAGTTTCTTTTCTTGTGTTTGATTTATTCTCTTGGTTGTCCCTGCCTATTTCAGAGGAAGGAAACAGGGATGACTGGGGGTGGGGAGGGGAGTGGGGATTGCCAACTTGTACCCTCCCCTGTCAGGTGGCCTGACTGGGCCTATTCATTAGGGAACACCATCTTTGGTACTTTTAAGTTTTTCTCTTGGACTGATGAAATTCCACAGAAATGCCAGAGAAGCATCCAAAAACTATAGTGTATAAGCCCAGCTGTCAGTGCTTTGGGAGCACAGCATGCTGAGTGGCTTTCAAATCTCTCTGTTCGGCATGGAGATTTTAACTTAATGCCTCTGTTTTTAGTATCATGTCATGACCACTGCTGTGCTAGCTGTATATCTATTCACCTTCTCCAGAAAGCACATCGCTAGGCTTCCTCCCCTCAAGGGGAGGGGCACTTATATAGCACTAGATGGAGCTTTCAGCAATATGTTAGCCTCACCTTCACCACCATTATCAGCTGCACATGGTAAAGCCAGTTCTTGAGCCTCTCTGAGGTTTCGTGATACCAATTACATTACATCTTGGCTTCATACATTGTCTATGTTTTGTTTTTCTCAGGGCTTCAACATCAGTCACCACTAGATTCATTTTATTTCCATACTCCAAGTTTCTACCCCTTTGGTTCTTCTATCCTTATTTTTGCACCTTTATAACTCCTTGCTCTGTTAATGTCCAGGCTCTGTTAATGCCTTTTTTTGAAAGGTTTAGGGAGGAAGGGAGACAAATCGTATGTTTACCCTCCAATCTTTAACTAGACCACCCTATGGATTTCCCTATGGCATTAAAAAAAGATCAAGTTTCTAGCAGCTTCAGGGGTCATAAGAATAGGTGACTATAGCAGCTCTTCTCTATGTTGAACCTAAGGGAATGTAAACTGTCTGAAGTTTTATAATCACCTGTAAGCACAACTAAAGCCTTCCCTTAGTTCTACAATAGACAACCATCAAAAGGAGAAAAATAATTTCCAAGCCTAGAAGGAATCACTCATTTCTCTGGATAAAGAAGAACTTCAGAAAATATAATAAATATTCAGATTCTATTATAAAAAGAAATTCCCATATAATTAAACTGTGCTCCCAGAAATCTGGTTTGTGAGGAAGAGAGGCTTACGTAAGAGGACAGGGGTCTCTAGAGGGAAACTTCAGTGTAACGTAATGATTATTCTTGTCATTGGTTATTAGGTACTCTCAAAAGACATGGAATTAAAGTGGCTTCCATTTAGCCAGTATGCCAGGACAGATACAAAGAGCGTTGTAGAACGACATCTGAAAATCTCACCTCTGTGGCATTCCAGCTGTACGCATCCCTTCTCTCTGAAATTGCCATTTTCACATGAATAGACACAGACATTCTGCCCAACATTGCATGTCTAACTCATTACTGCAGGATGAGTGATACTGTGTGATCCCTCCCTGGGGTTGAGAGCTAGAATAGAGGACTTCTCAAAATTTGCTACATTCCAATGAAGTTCTGTATCCCTAGGTCTCACAAATATTAAACCCCAAGGTAATGCTGATGCTGAAGGGGAAACAAATTATTATAGCGCTGGGATTTTTAATGCTATCTGCAGGTTGCAACTGTTGACTATGCAGGGCATCATGGAATCTTCCTTTATGTTATATATATATTAAAAAAAGGGTTAAGTTTTTGGATACATTGATCTGAACTCTCCTCTTTGACCCTGTTCTAAGTCTTTCCAAATCTCTACTATATACTGTTATGACACTCATTTTCCTTAAAACTTGTTTTCATTATACTTCTTTATTTACAACCATCAGGATCATCTCTGATCATATGAAATCTAAATGCACCTGTCTAGCTTTTAAGACCTTTCCTAACCTTAGACTCCAGGTAGGAGTCCAGGTTGTTCTCACTGTCCCAGGTCCTCATTCACTGCTGTTCTATATAGTTCCCTTTACCTGGGATTCCCTTTCATTCGGTTTCATGTATTTAACATGGTAGTTGTGCCAGGTACAGGGAAATAAGGCAAAGTCCCCGTCATTTAGAAACTCAAAGTCTAGTGGGAGAGAAAAATAAAGGACTGAGTTTGTACGGTGTCTAAGTAGAGGGTACCGAGCAAGTACACAGGGGTGGAGTAGGAGGTATATAAGTTCTGTTTTGAGAGCAAGGAAGTTTTCCCAGAGCAAGTGCTGTCGAAGCAGTGACCAAACAAATGAGAAGAGCCAGCTAGAAGAAAGAAGATGGGTACTATGGGATGGGTGAGGAGACTTGTCTCTTCAGAGAGAATATCCTCTACCATTAAATCTACTGTAAAGATCTCATTCAAATCTTATCTCCTCTGAGGCTTATTTACCAGTCTCTTGTCAAATACCATGAAAAGGACAGCCATCTTTCCTGTCTTGTTTTTTTCTCCACTGGTGAGGGCCCCTTGGGGCTCTCTTTACTTTGGTTTCTGGCGGCCAGCTGATTGCAAAATGGAGTTAGGGAGAGGAGACACTGTACTTTTAAGCATGAACTTAATTTCTACTCTTCAGTCAGGGTCACCAGAGACTTCAAGTTGGATATATGGGCACAAACCTAGGGTGGAGATTAATTTTTTTTTTTTGCTTTTCATTATTATTATTTTTTTAATGAAAACCTCCCTGGGAGGAGTATCCCTGGGAGGGTGGGATTTGGGTATCCCTGGGTACCTTAGTCAAATCCAAATTTATGTCCGATCCATAATAGCTCTCATTCTTCAAGCTCTGTTTGAGATAGAAACCTATAAATAAAATATTCATTAGTCCTCTAATGTCTTCTACTTCCTTAAGTTCTGCATTATCACACTCCTTCTCATTAAACACAGCTGCTGTGCAGCTGTTGGTAGCTTTCATAGGAGGTCAAGGCTAGCCTGTGGCCTGAAACAAAGAACAGCTCTTCATCGTATATTCACTACATGGTGGTGCGTGCAGAACTCAAGTTTGCAAGGGAGGACTGTAGAAAATACCCAAAGTGCAGTTGAAGAAGGGAAGCAGAGGCCTTTTGCAGGCTTCCTCTCATGTGGCAAATAATTGATTCTAAAAAGGGCAAATCCACTTTACATCAAGAAAACCTAAATAAAACAAAGAAACCAACCTCATTTTCTTATTTGGAACACGAAATCAATTTCATTGTGTTTCAAGATACTTATCCTCTGCTCAAACTTGAGGAACTGGGTTGTTGCTCTTCTAAAGCTATTTGTTACATCTGCCATTTGATAGAGAATCAATCAAGGCCATGGAAAGAAGTTTATAATGCGAAAAATGCTGCACAGATCCACTGCTGAGTGCAGACCCATGTTCATCAGCTGCACAAGCTCATTACGCTTGAGATTAGAGGCTTTTTTGTTAGAATTTGGTGGTGTTCATTCATCTTGACATTGTAAACACATGGCTGAAAATTCCACTGTTTCTCTGAGATGTCCTAATAATTATGTATCCATTAATTTGTTTAGAAAAATTGGCCCTACTGAGTAAGCTATTATCAGCCTGTTCAAGAAAGTTACTGTGTGGTTCTCCCTAATTTCAAATGCAAAAGTTAGATGGTCATGTGTATAGGTTTGAAGTAACACATGCAAAAATATGTTGCATAAGCCAGAGTTTTGCCAAGCCCTTCTCTAGCTTGCAAGGTATAAACAATGGAAACTCAAGGACCAACTGTTGGTTAGAATAATTGGGACGTCTGCTTTCCACAGTTCTAATTCAGGTTTCTCTTTAGCATTAGCGTCTTAATTTATATAACTATTATAGTATCATTACTTACCTTCTCAGTGATATTAATTGGCAGTCTTGAATTTTGAAATCTTTTCCTATCATTTGCTTTTCTTTATTTCCTTAAATAAATAGGCTGATTCGATTCCTAGTTCCTAGGTACATCCAGGTTCACTTAACTTTTAACTTTTTTTTTTTTTTATGATAGTCACAGAGAGAGAGAGAGAGAGAGAGAGAGAGAGAGAGAGAGAGGGGCAGAGACACAGGCAGAGGGAGAAGCAGGCTCCATGCACCGGGAGCCCGACGTGGGAATCGATCCCGGGTCTCCAGGATCGCGCCCTGGGCCAAAGGCAGGCGCCAAACCGCTGCACCACCCAGGGATCCCCTCACTTAACTTTTAAGTCTCTTTTCTATCACTTCTACACTTTGATATGTTACCTATTTTCAAGATAAGCCCAAATATCCTCAGGAAATACCATGGAATTGTCTTTCATCCCTCTATTCATATTTAATCGTTTACTCTTCCTAAATCCCTGGCAACCTATTTCCCCTTCTGTATATGTATCATTTTACATCTTGCCTTATGGTTTTAGTCTTCATGTCTTATTTTTTTTTCATGTCTTATTTACATAATAGACATTATTAGCCTCCTGAAGAGTCACATAATAGCCTCCTGAAGAGTCACACTATGTAACATGTATCTTTACATTATCACAGTGTCTTTTAAAGCCTTTTCCATCTACTAAATTAGCAATTTAAATTTGAATAAATGATGAACAGTAAAAGTAGAAGAGTCTCTTTTAGAGGCAAATATAAGGCGAGCACCCAATGGGGGTTCCTGTTATTCTACTTAAATTTATTAATTCCCATTTTTTAGTTTTTTTCACTAGCTTAAGCATGATGCCCTTCAACTGGTCTTTCATAGTCCCTAGAGAACCAGCACAAGGAAATATTTAACTTGCCGTTCTTGACGGGTTTGTTCCTCAGTAGTTTCCATGGCACATTCCAGAGAATTCTGGAGAGACTGCAGCTGATTCAAGGTCTCCTTCAATAAAAATCGAGTTACAAATTGTTCCAAATTGGAGGCCTCTTGGTAGTCCTAAGGATGACAAAGCAAAGGCAATTAGAAGTATGGTAAGGAAAAATATCCAGGAATGGCTTTCCCCGTGTACCCATCGATCTCAGATTAGTCTTTGAGGAGAAACCAGGAAGAGAGAGGACATGTTGACCTTGGAGGCTGGGGCAGAACTCTACCCACTCACCAGAAGTTGAATATAAGAGCTGCAGAGATAATGGGAATCTCTAGCTCCTCTCCCATCATACCTGCCTCAGTATTAGGACAAAACCCACTAGTTATGGAACAGACATCTATAGAGAAGGAAAAGAATATTATCTGGGGGGAAATAAAAGGTTAGAAGGTGACTAACTCAGAGTTTGTTCTGTGCTTCAGTAATGACCATGACATCATGTATTTTCTCTCTTGTCAACTAAATGCAGTCATGTTTCAGCAATTGGCTTAGTTCCCTCTTGATGTATTTATTATGCCCAATCTGTATTATACTGAAGCCAAAGGATATTATGTGTAGTTATCCCAAAATTCAGAAAAGTTAGGCATGGAATGTTTAAACAGTTTATTAAATCTGCTCATGTCCCTCCCTCAGGAACCCACCTGAGGCCCATTTGCATCCAAGTCAGCCACAAAAGCACCATTCCTTCAAAGACCCAACGTCTACCTGGAGATCATCGCGTACACAATAGTCATACTCACCAACTTTAATCTCAGGAGACAGGTGGGCTGTGCATGGTGCCACCTGCTGTTTTTGTCTTCTACAGTCTCAAGGAGAACCAAGAAAGAAGCAAAAATCAGGTTGGCAGGGACCAGAACCACTCTTTCGGGTCATGAGCCCAGCCAGCTAAACCTGATTTTTTAGAGTATCAGGTGGGAAGGATAAATACAAGTTCAGCTGAGAAATAGATGGATCTAGCTCTGTCCCTAAGTGATTTTTATAGAGGTGAAAATATAAAACTGAAAGGGGTAACAGTGACAAGATAATGCTGGGAGTCATGATGCGCTGGGGAGTCTCAGGTCATGGTTGTAAACCCAAAAAACAAAGACATGATTAGTCAATCTTTCTGGGTCTCTGCTCTCTAATTTACAAATCGGACTATAACTCGGGCATACCTTCCAACTCAAAAAAATACTCTGTGCGCCTCTTCACCCTAAATTAGGACATAATGAATCATGGCCTCCTGGCAAAGGTTACTTTGGAGTTGTTCTTCTGATGGCTCAATCACCTAATGCCACAGAAATCCTCCTTTCATTCCTATTTTGAAATCATAAAATGTTTCAATCATCAGTTTCTCTTTAAGCCCGTTCTCGTAGGTGAACACAGGGAATTCTCATATCTAATGATCTGATTTAAAACTTAAACATTTTAGTGCTTTTAAACTCCACCTAAGAAACTAACCATAGACCAAAACATTACATGCTTGTAGTAACCTAAGGATTTCCGTAAGTTAATTCAAGGTACAAATACACGAAATATTTAATTTTACCAAATTGCTTGTTAGTCAATAGCAATAAAAACTTCAGAAAGTTACTCAATTGTGTTTTTAAATTGAGAAAAGTTTTCTCTTGAAAAGAAAATGTGGTCTAAAAAAAGGTGTGCTTGATGTTTCTGCAGTCATTTGCATTTTGTGAAAGCATATATTTTAAATAGAACTTATTTAAAAAATAAAATAAATACAGAGGACGATCATCATATGGTTTCACTCATAGGTGGAATATAAGGAATAGTGAAAGGGATTTTTTTAAAAAAAAGATTTAATTTATTTATTCATGAGAGACACAGAGAGAGGCAGAGACACAGGCAGAGGGAGAAGCAGGCTCCATGCAGGGAGCCCAATGTGGGACTCGATCCTGGGACTCCCGGATCATGCTCTGAGCCAAAAGTAGATAGACGCTCAACCACTGAGCCACCCAGGCGATTCAGTAAAAGGGATTATAAGGGAAAGGAGGGGGACTGAGTGGGAAAAATTAGAGGGAGACAAACCATGAGAGACCCCTAACTCTGGAAAATAAACAAAGGGTTGCAGAAGGGGAGGAGAGTGGGGAGATGGAGTAACTGGGTGACGGGCACTGGGTGTTAGAGTATATGCTGGCAAACGGATTTAAATTTTAAAAATGTGAAAAAATAAAATAGATAAAACAAAATTTATTAAAACGCCAAAACAACAGATTGGTGTAGTCAGAGATTATGCCAATTACATTTGCATCTCAGTATACACGGACACTAAAGCAAATGATAAAATTTTATACCTGTTTGTAGACAGCTTGGAAAGCGAAGAGAGCATACGTTCACGGAGCAGTGCATTATCACATTAGCCTCGCTGTTTTCTCAGTTAATTGTTAATTATTTGTCATGTCAGAACTATAGAACTAACGGCTTCTTTTTGCAATTAGGTTTTAGTTTTTTAGACTCAAAGGTCATGCCTTCTATTTCTGTGTGCCTCATGGTGCCCACACCAGCTGCTCACTCAATACCTGATTGCAGAGAAACTCCTAAGTCTGAACATGCACTGGGCTAGCTAGTGTGGTCTTACATATGAAGATTTTGGTGATGCCAAAGTTCAATATTTAAGGGCAGTTAAAATCCAACAACTGGCTACTCCATAGCAGCAAATTAAGAAGTGGTTCTTAGACTTCTCTCCCCTACTCTGATGAGACTTTGCTAACCTCATTAGTGACTCTTCAGATAATACTAAGAGGTATCCAACAGCACTGGACACAATCGCTGATGCTTGGACACTGAGAGGGGTGGCAGGTGGATTTATGGTTTTGGAGTATTTAGTTTTTTGAGTCAATATGAAGATTGGCTGTTATGTGCTACCCCTTGATCATAAGGAGAAAAAAAGAGCTTGTTTTCTATTGTTTATCCTTCCAGACTCCGTTCATGGCACCATCTCTGTAGAGCCTCTCCTTTCCTTGAACCAACATTTTGCTTCATGAGATTAGGGCATTTCTTTTCCCTTCTGTGTGCTCCTAGCCAGTGTGTAGAATCTATTATTGCATATTGTAATCTGCCGTCTACTTGCCCGTCTCCCTCATCCTAGGCCAGCTCTTTAAAGGTAGGAAATCTATCTTATCATCGTCTCTGCCTCCAGGATGCTCAGAACAAAGCTGGGCCCCATAAATGGAGCATCAGCCCCATAAATGCTTAAACGGTATGTGAGCAGCAGGAGACTACCTGCAGATCTGGGCACCAGAGGGCATGGCTGAGCCCTGGAAACTGCTCCTGCCCTTCCCCAGGCGCCAGCTGCCTCCCCCTGCCTCTAGCCCTTGATGGCAGCCACTGTTGTCCAGCTTGCCTGGTTGTGTGGGCTCTGCAATAAATGGAAATAAAGCTTTGTTCTTAACAGACTGTTCGTCCTCATTTCATTTTCTGGCCCATTTGTTAGTCTTCTTCCCTTCCCTTAATCTGAATCCCAAGGTTTAGGATGGCAGACCCAGGTGGCATGATGCCAATCTTCCTTTCCTTCTCTCAGATGTGCAGCAGATGTTCCTTTGGAAGGCAGTGGCAAAAGAAGCAGATGGAAGATTAAATAGATAACAAGCTGGAAAATGTCAGGGCCTGGCCCTTTCTATTCTCAACAAATGTGTTGGTTCTGCAGGTACAAAAAGGGATCTTTGCGTGCTGAACTCCCCAAAGACTGATATGTTGGCTTAAAACACATGCTCCTGTAAGCAAAATCCAGAATCTGAGAGACTAGCGGAAAGAACATCCGCTGGTCTAGTGAAGCAGTCAAAAACCCTACAGACGGTACCTGATATCCTGATCCTGCCACTTTTTCCAAAAACAGTTTAGTCCTTTACGTCCATTAGAAAGGATATGGGCAAATGAAGCCTAATAATACGTTCCCCAGATCCCAATAACGTTCATCCATGTCACTGATAACTGTCAGTTCAATTCATCTTTAAGCGCAAGTTGTTAACTCGCATTAATATTTCCATTTGTGTCTCTGGAAAGCCAGAGTGTGACCATTTCGATCTGCCTATTTCTTTTGCGCGGAGCTGGAACAGGGTGAGGATTCATTCAAATCAAGAGCCAGCATTAGAAGCAGAGTTCCTTGAAAATGGGGTTTCTTGGGGGACTGTCTGAGCATCTTCACTGTCCGATCATTTCTCAAGAAGCAAGCTCCTGCCCATCCGCGTAATGGAAGAGGAGAGATCCCGGCTGCTAAACCACTATGAGTCATCGGAGTTAATCAGCAAAATCATAGCATCAGTCTTCCCTGTTTGTATTTGCCCCACTTGAAAATTAATCAAGTCTGTGACATCCAGTCTCAGCGCCTTCTTGTTTACGAGATCAGATGCAATCACACTTAGCAGGGGGCACTGCTTCTGACAGTTGCTTGATCCAAGCCCCTGCAGCCTTCCCTGTTCCCAAGGGAGACAGCTGTGCTGGCTCTGAGACCAGGGGAAAATTCACTTTTACAAAGATAAGGTTATCTTTCTTTCTCCTCTTCCCCAAACTGTTGGCTTTTAAAAAATAATAACTGGCTTACATGCTTTATCTACATCCTACTTTTGTAAACATTCTTAGACATTCATTTTTATTTATTTAAATTTTTTTTTAGACTTTCATTTTAAATGACTTTTCTTTTAAACTGGGAGAACACTAGATCAATTTTAAGCCTTAAAAAAAACTGGTCCTTAATTCAGAGGTTAGACTTTGCTAACCTCATTAGTGACTCTTCAGATAATATTAAGAGGTATCCAACAGCACTGGACACAATCGCTGATGCTTGGACACTGAGAGGGGTGGCGTGTGGGTTTACGGTTTTGGAGTATTTAGTTTTTTGAGTCAATATGAAGATTGGCTGTTATGTGCTACCCCTTGATCATAAGGGGAAAAAAACTGGTCCTTAATCCAAAACTCAAACTATTGAAAAAATAGACTGAGGTTAATTCCAGATAGATAGTTAGAAATTTTAGATAGCAGCACAAGAGATTAACATATTTTTCACACTGCAGAGCCCCAAGGATTAAAGGAAATATAAATTTTTCAGGCTAGTGAAAGAGAAAACAAGGCTACAGTT